GATCGCTTTTTTAATTTGATTTTTTCCGTTGCTATTTAATAGCAACGGATAATTTTTTTTTAAAAAAAAAATTATGTGGGTTTTTATTTAAAGCCCCAAAATTTTTAAGGCTCACTAGCCTACTTTAAGGCTCGAGCCTTGTGAGCCAGGCCTTAGTTGGGCTTGGCTCAGCTTGGATCGGCTCGGCTCGCTAGGCTCACGAGCCTTAAGGTCTATGAGGAGCTTTAGTCATTACCATGAATCATGGTAATGACAATGAACTATGTGAAAAAAATGATCCTATTTTAATTTCATCTGAAGTAATTGCAAAAGTTATAAATCTTCCATATGTAATTCAAGATTTCAAGATATCTGCTTATCTTTGAGCTAAGGTTTATCCCCTTCCTAATAAAAAAAATAATTTAACATTTTCTATCGATGTAAATGATTGCAGAATGGGAAAAATGCTAAGTGAAGAATGGTCATCACTTCGTAAATTGGGTATTGGTTATTTTCTTGACTCTGTTAAAATTTGAATTACTCCAATTCAAAATAAATCCATACCTAACAAAACTTTATATACTGTGAAAAATGGTCCATGGCCACAGCAGCCTATCAAAGATTTTAATATGGGTGAACTTCTTGAATCTATTCGAAGTATTGATGCATCAATTAATAAAAATCCTGGGGTAAAAATAGGTTATGATAAAAAATATCAACATGTTTCAAGTTTTACAACAAAAGAGTGGAAATTGAATGTTGATGGTAGTGGTAAGAGTAGATTGGGTTGGAAATATCATTACCTTGATAATAGACTTTGTAAAGATTTTAATGATAGAAGAAATTTTGTACCTGGAAACCATTCTTGTCACTGGCTTACTTTTGAAGCGATGAGTGGATTTCATGTTACTATTACTCAGGTTTTACGTTGCGAAATTACTAACAGCTGGCACAAACACAAACTAAATACAGGATCAAAATTAATACAACAATGTCCCAGAATAGCTCATACTTTTAAAATAACTTTTAAAAGTCTTGAAAATTTTAATGAAAATTTTGAAAATCTTAGAAATTGTGAAGAATTTAATGATTGTCTTAATGTTACTTTTTCAAAAAATGTCTTACCCAAGGAAAATACAATAAAGTCAGATATTAACGATATCAACATTGAGCGATCAGTTACAAAATCCATTTCCACATTTATTTAAATTTTTGGATCACTATTTTATTATTTATAAATTAATTAAATTGTTATTTTCTTTTATAAGTTTACTTATATTTAATTTAATATAAAATTTTTTAATTTCGCTAATATTATAATTATATTCTTTATTCATTAAAATTATTTAAGTCACATTAAAAATAACTACCAAAATATCATCTCTCTTTTCTCTGATAACCAAATTATATCATTATATTGAAATCCATTTACGAGTAATTAATATATAAAATTTAAATAAAAATGATTTTGGTGATTTCTGTTTCTTCTCCCGTGGGTGCTATATTTTGAATAGAAATTTAAATATATATCAATTTCATAAATTTTATTAATTGTAATGTATATAAAAGATCCAGCCCTTTGAAATAGTATATAGTATTATAGTTTCAATGCGTGAAGTTGGGTCTTTCGATTTTACATTTTATAAAGATTAATAGCATCCAAAAATGAACACTTTATTTAACAATATTTCCTTTCGAAAATTTTATTTATTCAGAATTAAAATTTGAATTATTTATTATTAATGTTATGAATAATTCGAGTATTTCTATGATTAATTTCTAACTTATATGTACGTAATTTTTGATAAAAATATATGATACTAGCCTTGTTTGATGGTTTCCCTCGATACTTTTTTTTCACAACGGCTAACCAAGACACACCCAATTGCCCAGGTTCGACACTACCACCACCACCACCATCTTCAAAAATCCCTCTCCCAGAAAGAGGAGCAAACTGTTATCTGAAATCTTGATAATAACGGATATTTATTATATACCAAGATCGTCTAACTGTTATCTTGCCATGTCCGAAAGTTTATCAACTGTCCTTTGGTCCCTTGTAATAATTAAAAAAAAGATTACCAACTTTTAGATTGACCAATCACATTTTATCATATAATATAAATAGATTTCACAAACAAAAATTAGATGTGTACGAATAATTATGTGGTCTTTAATAATTGATTATATTTTACAATTCACCTCTTACTCAAAATTATCAGGAAATTTGCATCCACTTGCATCAGTTATTGTGACTTTATTAATTGTAATCATTAGTTACATAATCGTTAATTCATTTGTGTCAAAAATATTAGGAAGAAACCAGTTTAATCCTCAAGGAAAGGTATTAAAATTAATAAAATTATTGAAATTATTCTAGTTATTAATGAATTAATAATAATATTAATGAATATTATTTTATTTATTTTATTTTATTTTAGCATGTATATATTACTGGTGGTAATAAAGGGCTTGGTAAAGAAATTGGTAAAATTCTAGCTGCAAAAGGTGCACACGTTACAATTTGTGCTAGAAATAAGAAGGATTTAGATATTGCATTAGAAGAAATAAAAGGAGTAAGTATATTTGCAAATTCCAAGTGAATTTTTTTTAATATTTATCCAAATAATTTATAAAATTATTTAAATTTTATTATTATTTAAATTATTTAAATTATTTAAATTATTTAAAATTTAATTATTTAAATTAGGCAGCACAACATCGGAATGATTATTCAAAATTAATTTTCAATGCGATATCAGCTGACCTGACCAAGAATGAGGAATCAATTCGTGCACTTGATGAAGCATCTGCCAAACATAATGGAGTTCCAGATATTATTTTTTGTAATGCAGGTAAATTAATATATTTAATATATTTATACAATACCTTTAATATAAATATTTTCTATTATTCATGATTATCATAATATTTTGTAGGTTTTTGTTTACCGAAAGTATTTATTGAACAACCTATTGAAGATTTTGAATATATGATGCAAATAAATTATTTTGGGGCATTGTATACCGCTCATGTATGATTAATATAACATTTAATTTATTTGATTTATTTATTTTAAAATTCAATTAAAATTTATTTAATTATTAGAGAGCAGCTAAACTTATGGCTCAACAAGGTGTCAAGGGAAAGATTATTTTTGTTAGTTCAGTGGCAGCTCTTGTTGGATTTATGGGATATAGCGCTTATTCACCGTCCAAACTTGCTCTAAGAAGCTTAACAGAATGTTTGAGAAATGAATTGATTCTTTATGATATTGGAGTTCATTGTTTTTTTCCAGGTACAATGGATACAGATAGTGTAAAAGAGGAGGTATACATTTATTTACTAATTTATGTATTATTTATTATCTAATTAAATTAATTATTATTATTATTATTATTATTATCTAATTAAATTAATTAATTAATTATTATTATTATTATTATTATTATTATTATTATTATTATTATTTAATTATTGTTATTTTAATTATTATTATTTTTTAATTTTTATGGGAAATGATGATAGAATAAAATAAAACCACAAGCAACCAAGAAAATTGAAGGTGATGACAAAGTTACTCCAGAACATGCAGCAAAATCATTATATAAAGGGTTATGTAAAGGAAACGTCTTTATCACTTCAGACTTATTAGGTGATGCAATTAGGGCTTCAACATTAGGTATTATTTATTATTTATTATTTATTATTATCCGATATTATTCATTATTTTTTTATTATTTATTTTTTCGTTTTTCCATTTTCATTATTTATTAATTATTATTTTTATAATTTAGGGTTTGTTGAAGCTAATAATGGAATTTTAGATGGCTTAAAGTGTCTAATTATTTGGGTTAGTATAAATAAATATTTTTGATTCTATAATTAATAACTAATGAATAAATTCTTTTTTTTTTTTTTTAGATTGTATCAAAACCCGTAAGATTAATTAACGATAAAATTGTTCGTGATGCCAAATCAGAATATCCAGTTATTCCTGCTGACAATTAAATCAATTAAATTCAACTAAATCAATTGAATATAATTATAATAGAAATATTATTATTTATTATGATACAAATACTTAATTAATTATTAAAATAAATATAATAATAATAATAAATAAAATATAATAATAATAATAATAATAAATAAATAAAAATATATAGTAATAAATAATTATTTATTTATTCACCAAATTTTTGTAAATTATTTAAAATTTCAAACCCACTCAACCTTTTTGATAATGACATTATAGATTCTATAGCATTATTTGGTATCGAATGTTTCTCTGGCGGCAATATAATTATCAACCAAACGTGATCATCTATACGAATATAATAATAATACCTTCCAATTTTATTATCATAGAATTGACCAGGTGTTGAAGTTGTAAATGGAGATAATCTTTTATTATTTTTATTATCTTGAATAATTGATATTATATTTGGTTGATGTTGTTCTGGTTTTTCCTACGAATCATAAAAAATGTATTGTTTTATTAATTTGACTTTTTTAATTCATTTAATTAATTATTATAAATAAAATAAAATACATAATATAAATTAGAAAATAAAATAAAATAATATAAATACTTTGGGAAATGAATAAATAAAGGGAAATGAATTTTTTCCTTCAGGTGATTTGTATTTTGTTCCTCCATATCCATAACCATCTTCATGAAATGGTGTGTCTTCTGTAACTTCATATATCAATGAAATATGATTTGCTCCTGTTTGCCTGAGAAGTTCTTTAATCCTATAATTATAATAATTATTATAATAATTATAACAATTAATATTAATATTTACAATATTTATAAATATTTATAATATTTATAAATATTTATTAAAATATCATTTTCATCATTTAAAAGATAAATATACTCTTTATGATAATTTATCGTAATACCCCCCCATAAGGATTTTATATCTCCTCCTGTTACGCTTTCTCTTTCCAAAAGTATATTCATAAAATATAATGTCAATTTTGAAGTTAAATTACATAAAAAATTTTCAATCCATTGCATATTATTTGGTGATTCATTTGTTCTTTTCCCGTTTTTTGTTAGTTTCTATATTATTATTAAGTATAGAATAGAATAGATGAATAAATTAATATTATATTAATATTATATTAATATATTGTTATTTGTTATTCCGGATTTTTCTTTGATAATTACTCACATCTGAAAAAACATTATAAAAAACAGAAAATGTGAAGGTTGGTTCTTCAATTCTACTTGACTTCTATTTTGAAAATAATATAATAAATATAATAAATATAATAAATATAATAAATATAATAAATATAATAAATATAATAAATATAATAAATTACTAAATATAATAAATATTTTAAATTTTATCAAAAATATCAAAAATTTATACCTCAGGATATACTTGCTGTGAACAAATCTCTTTCCATGAAGAAAGATTTGATTTTGCATTATAAAGAAAAATTGTTGAATTTTTAAAATCATATGCAATAATTTCTTTTTGTGCTTTGAAAAGATATCCTAATATTGTCAATTCCCTTCTATTAAAATAAATTTCATTAATCCTAATGTATTATTAATTAAATAATGTGAGAATATTTTATTAAATTTGAATGTGATCACTTACTCAACTCCTATACCTAAAGGTCCTAAATTTCCAATTAATTTAAGATTTTCAGCTTTTTCTTTACAAGCTTCAATTTGATCAATAATATGATCTGAATTAAGATTAGAAAAATGAGTTGATATAGTACGATAACTATTTATTAAATAAAAATTATAAAAATTATTAAAAATTATAAAAATTATAAAATTATAAAAATTATCATATATTATTTTTTGAAAAAAAAAACTTACATTGATATTTGTTCTTGTCTGATTCTTATAAAATTTTTTAGATCTTTACATAATTTCATTAAATAACCTGGATCAATATGATCTTCATTATGAGGTATTGGTGGTGTAGATTTTATTAAATTATTTATTGAATTTATAAATTCTGTATTTAAATACTATAATTGATAAATAATTATAATTAATCATTATCAAAATGAAAAAAAAAAGAGAAAAAAAATAAAATAAATAAAATATAATCTTTCTTACATCATCTCTACGAAAAAATTTACTAGTTTTCAGATATTCAAAAGAGGTGTATGACTGTTCACATCTTGTAATGGTTGCTAGTATTGTTCCAATATTGTTTATCTAAGTTTTAAATTTTAAAATTATTTAAAATTATTTAAATTATTTAAATAACCAACTCTCATTATAATATCATTTAAGAATATTTTATCACTTACCTTAATAATTTTATTTGAAATTTTATTTGCAGCATTATAATCGAAGCAACCAAGTGCTTGAAAACACTCGGTACAAGTTGACATTTTTTATGGTATACAAAAAAACAAAAAGAGTTTTATAATATTTACCACGTGAATTTAATTTTTTTAATATTTATATATAAGGGAATTGCATGCACGTAATAATTTTACGCAATTTTTGAATTTGAATTCATGATTGTGTTTTCAGTTATATCTGGTGCAAAAAATGAAGACGCTCTATGTTATCTTTTAGAAGTGGATGATGAAGTACGTATCTTGCTAGATTGTGGGTGGAATGATGAATTTAATGTAGAAGACTTAAAACATTTGAGAAGGTAAAATAAAGATATCAAAAATTTCAAATTCGAAAAATATAATAAAATTAATAAAATAAAATTCATAAATTTTTTAATTAAATTTAATTAAATTAAATTAATTAAATTTAAATTAGAGTTGCTAAAAAGGTAGATGCTCTTTTGCTATCACATCCTGATCTTTCACATTTAGGAGCGTATCCTTATGCATATGGACATTTTGGACTTTCCTGTCCAGTTTATGCGACTTTACCAGTTGTAAATATGGGACGAATGTGTATGTATGATGTTTTTCAATCAAAAGTAAATGAAGCAGAATTCAATACTTTTGCATTGGATACTGTTGACGCTGCATTTGAAAGAATAAATACTTTAAAATATTCACAACCGACATCCTTAGGAGGTAATTTTCATTTAAATATTTTTAATAATAATTTTGTAATTGATATTTATTTATTTATTTATTTATTTATTAATTTATATTATTTTAACTATTTAGGAAAATGTAAAGGAATAACTATTACAGCTTATGCTGCTGGTCATTCAATAGGAGGAACAATATGGAAAATTAAAAAGGATACAGAAGAAATTGTTTATGCCGTTGATTATAATCATAAAAAGGAGAGGTAAATATTTTATTATTATTATTATTGTATTGATAACAATATTTTTATTTATAATAAAATTTGTAATTATATTGTTTAGACACTTAGATGGCACGGTTTTACATATAAATGGTGTTGCATTAAGTAGACCTTCTTTGATGATTACCGATGCTTATAATTCTTTAATTATTCATCCAGCAAGAAAACATCGTGATGCTGCTTTATTTGGTAGATAAGATTTATTACTTATTATTTTTGTATTTTTTAGTGGAGAAATTTAATTTTAATGATCAATTTTGATTATTTCATTTATTTATTTATTTATATTATATTATATTATATTTTATATATTTTTATTTAATATTATTTAATATTATATAATATATTTTTTTACATTATATTTTACGTTCTATTTTATTTTATATTAGAGACAATAATGGAAACAGTTAGCAACAAAGGATCAATTTTATTACCAACAGATTCATCAGCTCGAGTTTTGGAATTAGCATATCTTTTAGATCAACATTGGGCATTTTATCAAGTTTCTTATCCACTTGTTTTACTTACTCATCAAAGTTATCGAACAATACAATATGCAAAAAGTATGCTTGAATGGATGAGTGATGCAATAAATAGACAGTTTGATAGTAAAAGAGAAAATCCTTTTGAATTTAGGTTAGTTATTAATTAATATAATAGATTTATTTATTTAGGCAACTGTCTTAAATGATATCATTAAAGGAGGTTGACTCCTAATGATGTCATTTGATACAGTCCTATTAATTTAATTGTAAAATAATTTTTTATTAATTGTTAATAATTTGTAAAATAATATTATTATTTTAAATTTTTTTTTTTAAAAATCTTATAATAATAATAATAATAATAATAATAATAATAATAAATGAATAATTAAATAAATAATAATAATAATAATAATAATAATAATAATAATAATAATAATAATAATAATATTTAAATAAAAATAAATAAATAAAATTTTTAATAATTATATAAACAAACTCATTTATAGATATTTACGTCTTTGTCATCGACATAAAGATCTTGCCAAATATCCTGGACCAAAAGTAGTACTAGCCAGTAATGTCAGTTTAGAGACAGGATTCGCGAGAGAACTTTTACTAGAATGGGGAACATCTGAATCAAATGCTCTTATATTAACTGATAGAGGTCCACCAAATTCATTAGCAAGAAAATTATATTATGAATGGGATAAAATTAGTCAACCTGATGATAATCCCGTGAAACCTTCAATCAATTTAGATTTATCAATGAATCTTTTAGTGAGCATAAATTATTATTTATTTATTAATTATTTATTAATTATTTATTAACTATTGTTGATTATTATTATTATTATTATCATTTTCATCATCATTATATTATTATTATTTATTAGATTAGGAAAAAAGTTCCATTGGAAGGAATAGAATTATTGGAATATAAATCAGAACAACGTAAAAAACATGAAAGAGAAGCAACTCAAGCGGCATTAATAGCAAAAAGTAAATCAATAATAGAAGATGATGAAACTGATGAATCTGAATCAGAAGTTGGAGATACGGACATTGAAGAATTACTTTCAACTCAATTTGATCTTTATGTAAGAGATGCAACTAAATATGGAGGATTTTTTAAACAAACTCAAAGTTATTTAATGTTTCCTTATACTGAAAAAAGGAAAAGATATGATGATTATGGTGAAATTATACAAGTTGATCAATTTGCTAAAAGAATCGCCGATGGAATTAGAGATGATGATGATCTTAATGGTGGTGATAAAGCAGAAATAAGTAGTGATAGAGATGAAGTAATATTATTTTCTCTATTTTACTTTATTCTTCTAAACATTTATATATTAACACATATATAATTGGTTGATTATTATTAGACAGAAAAGGAAGATCCAACAAATTCATCTTCGGACTCTAATGTTCCCACTAAATACATATCATATAATCAAGACATTAAATTCATTTGTAAAATAAGGTTCATTGATCTTGAAGGAACTAATGATGGAAGATCTCTCAAAACAATTGTTCCTCAAGTTCAACCTAGAAAATTGGTTAGTAATGTTATTTATGATTATTATTATTATTATTATTATTATTATTATTATTATTATTATTATTATTATTATTATTATTATTATTATT